GCCCATGCTGGATTCAAATTCCTAAGCTCAGGCAATCTACCTGCCTTGGCCTCCCAAAGTGCTAGGGTTATAAGCATGAGCCGCCATGCCTGGCCACCCAGCTAATTTTTCTTTTTCTCTTCTTTTGGTAGAGATGGGGTTTCACTGTGCTGCTCAGGAAGGTCTCAGTCAAACTCCTGGGGGCTCAAACGATCCTCCTGCCTGGGCCTCCCAAAGTGCTAGGATTATAGGCATAAGCCACCTCACCCAGCCTGGGAGTATATAATTAGCACTGGTGCTCAGATTCCTTCCGTAGGTCCCTTCCTCCACCTCATGCCAGACACTACTAGGCACTGGGTATACAAATGGAATAAGTAGGACACAGTCCCACTCCGAAGAAGGTTATGGTTCAGATGGGGCGAGACAAGTCAAGAGCCACAGTCTGAGCCGCGAATGAGCACACAGTACAGGACGGTGTACAGGAGAGGGTCCTCCCAAGGGGGCTTCTAGACAAGACTGGAATAGCAAGCAGGATTCAGCTGCAAAATGAATGCAGTAGGTAGGAGGGCAGATGGAAGCAGAGAAGGGCTGGGAGAAGGCACCGCATGTGGTGGGGTGGTCTCTGCATAGCAGGACATAAGGCCAGAAAGTTGAATAAGGGTGGGGGTTGATGGGAGGGAACTTAGAGGATGGGTCAATAGGTGCAGCAAACCACCATAGCACATGTATACCTATGTAACAAGCCTGCACATGTATCCTGTTTTTTTTTTTTTTAGAAAAAAAAAGTTGAATAAAATGCTGATCACATAGGCCCTTGTGACCCATCTGTACTAAAAATATAAAAAATGAGCCAGGCATAGTGGTGGGCGCCTGTGATCCCAGCTCCTCGGGAGACTGAGGCACAGACCTGCTTGAACCTGGGAGGTGGAGGTTGCAGTGAGCCGAGATCAGGCCACTGCATTCCAACCTGGAAGACAGAGTGAGACTTGGTCTCAAAAAAAAAAGGACAACCATGCATGTATAAAGCAATCAGGAATATGTTATGAACTAATGATTAATGTGATTTTGTGCACCTGTGAGCCATTAAAAAGATAACCAAGGTCATTACTAAGATTATTGGTAAGGATTTGAACACCAAGGGAGAATAGAGAACACTTTGATTAATATGTACTGGGAATGATCATGGTGCTGGTGGGGAAAAACAGGGAGATGAGGGAGGCAGGTCCAGAAGGACTCCAAAGTTACAGGGAAAGTACAACTGGAAAAAAAAACAATCAATAAGTGAAGCAAACATTTGCCTGGAAGTGCTAGAAGCTAGAAATGCAGGAAAAACTTGAGAGAAGATAACATGAGTTTTCAAAGTAGACAGAGGGCTGCACATCAGGCCAAAAGTCCCTGATCTCCAAGACTTCAGGACTGCCACACCTTAAGAACTGCTATTAGAGTGGACAGACCTGTGACTGACAGGCTGATGGGTGATGGTATCTCAGGGTCGAAGAATCTGCCTCCTGAGAGAATTGGAACTGTCCTAGCAATCAGTGCTGCATCGTGGTAATGATCCTTCCTCTTATGAGCCCAGAATATTTAGCTGTGGAAGAAGGATCCACGTGCCTGAAAACAGTGACGTGATTATCACGTGGAAAAACTAACTCCTTCTTGCAGCCATTCCCTGACCCTGCCAGGCCTCACCACTGTGCTATCAGCTCAGCACACTGATGGGAGATGGGGTCTTGCGGCAGGATGAACCCATGTGTGTCTAATCTGTAACTGACGCAGACAACCTGAGAGAGTCTAGGTTGAATTGTGGTCTAAGCCAGGCCTCCACATCTTCCTCTTCAAATGCTAAAGTAAAAAAGAATGCCAGAAGAAAAGGTGGCCATCAAGAGACCAGCAACGGAGGCAATTAGGTAGACAGAGAACAGTTATCGCTAGCCTTCACGAACCTATGCAGTTATCTAAGAAAAAGAAAGTTTAAGTGTTGAAAAAGAATCAGAACTACTGGAAGTTCAAAGTAGCCTGTTTAGAATCTACATTAAGTTTCTTTTTATGGCAGCCATAACTGAATAATAAATGTAATAGGAAAAATTGATTATCGAATTTGGGACTGAATTTTCACTTGAAACAATAAAGCAGAAAAGGAAATCTGAGTCCCAAGTAGCTTTAGGCACAGCCAAATTGTGAGATTTAAGTAATGTCACCAGAACGGTTTCTCCACACCCCATCCTGCCTCCGAATTTTAAACTCTCTCCTTCTGTGCAGTGTTCTCCACCAGGCAGGTTCCCTCCTTACTCCGGTGGAAACGAAGTGTCGCCTGACAGTGTGACCAGGAACTCTAATGTCGACCCCTGCCAGCTTTGCTTAGGACTCGACTCTCTAGGACAGATCCGGGTCATATTCCTGATGTTAGAGTGGAATGAAGTGAGGAGTCAACCCCACCAGAGCCACATGGTTTAAGAACAGAGGATGGGTAGGTTCCTATAGGAAAACTGAGTTGTCATCACAAGAGCACATGGCGTTGGGGAAGGCAGGCATCCTCTACAGATTCCATTCCCAATAGCAACAGAAGCCAAAGAGCTGGAAAACATCTAAATAGAACCTATATAAAGAAAACCACAAGCTGGGCGCAGTGGCTCATGCCTGTAATCCCAGCACTTTGGGAAGCCAAAGCAGGCAGATCGCGAGGTCAGGAGTTCAAGACAAGTCTGGCCAACATGGTGAAACCCTGTCTCTATTAAAAATACAAAAATTAGCTGGTGGTGTGTGCCTGTAATCCCAGCTAATCGGGAGGCTGAGGCATGAGAACCGCTTGAACCGGGACCCAGGAGGTGAAGGTTAGAGTGAGCCGAGATCGCACCACTGCCCTCCAGCCTGGGCAACAGAGTGAGACTCCTCTGGGGGTAGAGGGGGGAAGAAAGAAAACCATAAAAGACCTGAGTAAATGGAGCAGGAGTTTATGTTCTTAGAAAGGAAGGCAATATTAGGCTGGGCATGGTGGCTCATGCCTGTAATTCCAGCACTGTGGGAGGTCAAGGCAGGCGGATTGCTTGAGCTTAGGAGTTCGAAACTAGCCTGGGCAACATGGTGAAAACCCTGTCTCAAAAAAACAAACAAAAACCAGGGAAGACAATATTGTAAAGAGATACTATATATTTCCAAATTGATCCACTTTCATTCTGTCACCCAGTCTGGAGTGCCATGGTGTGATCATAGCTCACTGCAACCTCAACCTCCTGGGCTCAAATAATTTCCCCACCTCAGCCTCCTAAGTAGCTGGGACTACAGGCATGCGCCACCATGCCTGGGTAATTTTTGGGTGTTTGTTCCTCCTTCATTCTATTTTTTCTTCAGACCAGACTGGCTAATTAAAAAAAATTTTTTTTTTTTTTTTTGTAAAGACAGTCTCACTATATTGCCCAGTCTGGTCTCAAACCCCTGGGTTTAAGTGATCATACTGCCTTGGTCTCATAAAGCGCTAGGATTATAGGCATGAACTACCACACTTGGCCTAAGCAGATTCTTTTGAGATGGAGTCTTGCTCTGTCACCCAGGCTGGAGTGCAGTGGTACAACCTTGGCTCACTGCAACCTCCCCCTCCCAGGTTCAAGCAATTCTCCTGCCTGAGCCTCTGGAGTAGCTGGGAGCACAGGTGCGTGCCATCACAGCCAGCTAATATTTGTATTTTTAGTAGAGATGAGGTTTTGCCATGTTGGCCAGGCTGGTCTTAAATTCCTGACCTCAAGAGATCCATCCCCCGGCCCTGCCCCCACCGCCAAAGTGCTGGGATTACAGGTGTGAGCCACTGTGCCAGGCCTCTGAATGTACACTACTCACTAAAAGAGCCAAGCGTCTTTCTGAAAAATAGAGAAAGGGATTAGACTTAGCCCATCAGGTATTCAAATATACTGGGAACATACAGCAGTTGAGACAGTGCTATTAGATGAAAAGATGTCAGAACAGAATGGAAAATATATTCAAATCAGCAGGGGAAACAAGGACTGTCAATGAATAATGCTGAAATATCTACCCCTGCTCTTCAAGAAATGAGCCCTACTTCACACTTCACCAAAAAAAAAAAAAAAAAAAAAAAAAAATTTAGAATGGATTAGTGACCAAGGACATAGAATACTTTTTATACTCTTGGGACATGGATCATCCTCAAGAAGGCCGCAATAACCCTGAGGCCATAAAATCAAACATTTAGAATGATCTGGCCAGGCACTGTGGCTCACACCTCTTGTAATCCCAGCACTCTGGGAGGCCAAAGCAGGCAGATCACTTGAGGTCAGGAGTTTGAGACCAGCCTGGGCAACATGGTGAAACCCTGTCTCTCCTAAAAATACAAAACTTAGTTGAACATGGTGGCGGGCGACTGTAATCCTAACTACTTGGGAGGCGGAGGTTTCAGTGAGCCAAGATCTTGCCATCGCACTCCAGCCTGGTGACAGACCAAGAAAAAAAAAAAAAAAAAAAAATCCAGTACTGCCAAGTGTGAAGAACTAAGCACTCTCATGCCCTGAATGTGAGTTTGGACTGCTCTAGCCTATTTTGAGTAATCACTTGATAGTAGCCAAATTTTAATACATGTCAATTGGGACTAGATTCTCTATATTCTCATTCTAGGATGCTTTTACCAATGTAATCATGCATGTGTACAAGGCTACGGACAAAAAAGCTCCATGCAATGTTTCCAGTGGCCCCAAAAGAAGAAACACCCTGAAATACACAGCAGTGGCAAGGCAGTTAAATCAGCGTATCCTGTGACAATGAAGAATGCACTGCAACAGTCCAAACAGTGAAGGAGAGCGGCATGTTCTGGAGAGAAAGAGCTCCCAAGATGAAGTCAAAAGAGCAGGTCCACTTAAGTTTTATAAAATGCAAGTATAATAACAGGTGGGAAGGCCTGCAGGGAATCACAAATTAACCACCTTGCAGGTAGGTGATAGTTTGACTGCAGAATGGGAAGAGGTGAGAAATGAGGGACTTTTTATGAGCTTGCGCATTGCTGGAAAAAAAAAAATCAAGCATTGTTACATGTATATTTAAGGATGCAATAAGAACAAATTGTCATCAATTCAACTTACTCCTAAGATTGAGGGCTTATTGAATCGGGAAAGCCAACTATTTTTAAGATATAAATTTATTAAAACTTTGACGTTAACAATTTATTAATTAATATGTTAACTATAAAAACCTAGAAGTCCCAGGAATTAGATTTCAAAGGATTTGGTCTCAAAGAATTCCTTATAAATGATTTTAAGGTGACATTCCTTGTTAAACTGGGACATTTTCTGCTTTGGGGCTCATGTTGCCCCAGCTGTGGCCAAGATTAAAATGAGTCAGCAGCACATGAAGTTCTGGAGATGAGAGGTTCATATTCACTCTTATCCAAGTTACAGCAAATAGCCCCCTATTTCCCATTTAATGGAATGCAGTTTCTTCTGCGATTCTTTGGCATAATGAGGCGCTAGACTCCCCATTTCTCCCACGCAAGGAAGAGCCATCTGCATTCTTGTCCTCACATGTGAGTACTTGTCACAAGTTAAAACACTGGCCAAATCATCACCTTAGGACTCCTTGCGTGCATTCAGGTAAAAACATCTGGGGTGGGAGGCCGGTGCTTTCTCTCAGTTCTCGCGCTCACCCCTCAGTCACTTAGTTGGTCACAGTTGGGCAGGTAGAAGTGGGCTAAAAATTTTAAAACTCCTAATTATCGTGTCCAGAAGTAGATGAATGCTGCTGTTAACAACCATGACAGGAAAACCTGGACCAGCAATTTTCTCCATAATGCCAGTGAGTAGGAGGTCCTGAAGAAGTAACAAAAGCCATCCTACAGTGGGGCGAGAGAAAAGTTAGATTGCCTCATGATGCTGAGAGCCTCACTCAAAACACGTGGGAACCTGCAGATTAAACAGCAAAGGAATCTTTGGATTTAAAAAGTAAAAGGAAGGAAATTCTGATCAATACACACGCAGTACTGAGGAGCCCGAGTACCGAGGACTGCTAAGTCTAACAGAGTGGATAGAAGCGACCATTTGACTTTGTCACTTGGTGTAGGAACACTCGTATCTTGACTCAAAACCAAGAGGAAGGTAGACTATGACGCTCTTTTCTGAGCAAAGAGATGTCCTTTGGGAGACTGTCAAGTCACTAGATTGAAAAGTTATCACCCGATACTACAGCAAGCACCAACTCCATTTAGGAAGGGAACTGAACTCAAGGCTGTGGCATTTTAACTGCAATGGGCAGAGATGGGGGTGCACTGTTCACCCAGTTTGAGAATTTCAGCTTCTTTTTTTTCCTTTTGACATGGAGTTTCACTCTTGGTGCCCAGGCTTGAGTGCAATGGTGAGATCTTGACACACTGCAATCTCCACCTCCCAGGTTCAAGCGATTCTCCTGGCTCCACCTCCCAAGTAGCTGGAATTACAGGTGCCTGCCACCATGCCCAGCTCATTTTTTTTTATTTTTAGTAGAGATAGGGGTGGGTTTCACCATGTTAATTGTCTTGAATTGCTGGCCTCAGGTGATCCACCCACCTTGGCCTCCCAAAGTGCTGGAATTACAGGCATGAGCCACGGCACCCGACCGAAAATTTCAGCTTCTTGATGTTAAGAGATTATTCTTTAGTCAACAGCGATTAGCCAAAAACATGAACAAAACACAACAAAAACTTCTGCTGGATTCGCTGTAATCGCAGCATTTTGGGAGGCAGAGGCAGGGGGATCACCTGAGGCCAGGAGTTTGAGACCAGCCTCACCAACATGGAGAAATACCGTCTCTACTAAAAACACAAAATTTAGCCAGGTGTGGTGGTGCCTGCCTATAGTCCCAGCTACTTGGGAGGCTGACGCAGAAGAATCACTTGAACCCGGGAGGCAGAGGCTGCGGTGAGCTGAGACTATTCCATTGCACTCTAGCCTGGGCAACAAGAGCAAAACCCTGTCTCTTAAAAGAAAAAAAACTTCAAGGGCCCCTTTCCAATTCTCATCTCTTCATGTACTGAGCCCGGAGGGGCCAGAGGCTGTGTTGAGAGCTCAGGTGAGGCTCTTAGGCAGGCAGCTGAAGGGAGTTCACCGGCCCAGCGGGCTGAACACCAACACGAACATGAACAAGGCAGGAGATCAAGCTACACCTCCCACCCCCTGTCCCTTCTCAGAACGTAACTTGTCACTATACAAGGTCTAAATGGGAACGACCCACAGGAGGCTAAATTTCAGATCAAAAAACTTGCCCGTTTTAATAGTTTGGCCATAGGCATCCAATAACATGGGTCACCTCAGTCATTGAATCAACGCCAATAAGGTGGTGAGGAAATAAATGGGGTCTAGCTCAGAACCCTGGGGCCATGCGAGGGGTGGGGTGTCTCACCACCAGTTGGCTTTCCTTGATTAGCAGCTGCAGACCAAAGGCCTATCCCTCTAACCTTGACCACAGAGATTAAGGCCTGCAGCTGAAACCAGGGGCCTAGAAACGTCCTCACTGAGGGCTGGATGCAGCGGATTAGAAGTTAAGGAACCTTGGGTAAGTGCCACCACCGGGCGACCAGCACACTCCACAACCCCTCTTGCCAGGCTGAGAGGTGTTGGGGGTTATGATTAATGGGTCTGAGTCTCTCCAAAGGCACATTTAATAGGCACAGGAGAAAAACACCCCACCTGGCCTGGCCCCCAAATTGCTGACTTCATTTGTTGGTGATTTCTATAGGGGCAAAGCGTTCAGACCTAACATGGGTGTCACCAAAAGCCCCCGATGACGAGCTAAGGCCAGGGCAAGGTCCAAGGGAGCAGACCCAAGCCGTGCGCGGCCGCTTCGGAGAAGTTCATAGCCATCTAACAAGGCCTATTCCTGCCAGCCTCTCTGCCAAGGGAGGAGAAACCCCAGACCTCACACCGAGCATTCCAATCCTGCTGAAATGAGCCCTTTTGCTTTCAAGAAACCTCATTCCAGGGGCCTGAGGCAGTGGGTCTCTCCTCGTGCTGGGCACGTGGGTGAGCCCTTCCCGGGTGCCCATCCCGCCCCGTGTCCCCCTCCGCGTGCTCACCCAGCCGCCCTGAGCCTCCAGCCAGGCACGGTGCTGCCCCACGAGCCGCGAGCTCAGCAAGCCCACCAGGCGCTGGCAGTCCCGGGAGACGTTGCCCTCCGGCTCCTTCAGCCGCGACTGGAAGCCCCACTTCTTCCACCGGGCGGTCACCAGCGGCCCCCTCTCTAGCAGCGTCCCCGCGAAGGCCAGAAGCATCACCACGTTGCCCCAGGTGGGGCCGGGACTGTCGGAGAGCAGCGCCTCCGCCATCCTCGCCACCAGCTCGACGCGGTTCCCGGGGTAGCCGAGGTAGGCGGAGAAGAAGGACCGGTAGACTTTCCGTACACCGGCGGCGGTGGCGCGCAGCACAGCGGCCTCGGCCGTGGCCGGCGGCGACTCGGGGGTGCCGGGCTCCCGGGAGCAGTACTCCAGGTAGTCCGCCACCAGCCGCTCGGTGCGCTGCCGCAGCGGGTCAGCCATGGTCCGGCCTCTGCTGGGGCTTCAGGCCTTCGCCGGCTTTCTTGGCCCGGCCGCGCCTCCCCCAGGGAGGGGCTGCCATGCCCCGCCCCAGCCCCCAGGCCCAGATGTTTGTTTTCAGAATTGGGAGAGGAGCCTTTGATGGGAATCCCAACTGCACCTGTTCCAGTCCCCAAGGCCCGGCGGTGCGCACGTGTTCGCGTAGCGATCAGGCGCACTGTGACACTCTTTGGGGGTTATTTAGCTCCAGGCCTGGGGACTAAAAATCTGAGGGGACAAAGAACCTGAGGGGACAGTCTGGGAAGCTGGGCTGGGCTTCAGCCTCCTCTTAAGGAGAGCCGAAGAAAGGCTACACATGGCCGCGTACAGACCACTCCCTTGGGCATTATCTGCATCTCTAGATTGGAAAGCACCCAGGTCTGTATTGGAGAGTCCTTTCTTTTGGGTCTGGTGCATGTGGCAGGAAAAGAGCCAATTTTCTTGGGGGCTGCTAGAGGGCCAATATTGGCTGTATTCATTCATATTTAGTAAGAGCCTTTGGGGTGCTAGGCCTCCCCCTCTTAGCACTGAAGATACAATGGAGTCTGAGCTCCCATCATGAGCTGGATGTCATCTGACCTATGTAGCCATAAAGTTGAATGTACATAGCAGCAATCTATCATCAAATGGAAGTGGCGTATTAGAAACTTAGCCCAGGCAGGTTGAGAATTCAACTGTAAATTGTATGAGCAGGTAGCTCAGACTCTTCCAACATCAACTCCTGTTGCTTTGCCTCCTCTCCCTCATGTCATACCTATTGCCTCCAGCGATGCTACTTATGGCCAGTTGACTGAGAAAAACCTCCAGCCTAGATTATAGATGGGTCTATGTGATGTGCTGGTACCACATGAAAGAGAACAGCTGCAGCATTCACTCACACTCACTCAGGGGTGTCTGTGAAGGACAGTGGTGAAGGAGAATCCTTCCAGTGGGCAGAAATTCAAGGTTGTCTATGTCTGGAGTGAGAGATGGCCAGAGTACACGCCTACATTGATTCATGGACAGTCGCTGGTTTGACTAGATGGTCAGGCTGGATGGTCAGGGGCTTAAAAAGAACAGGACTGGAAGACTAGTGACAAGAAAATCTTGGAAAGAGATATGTGGCTGAACCCCTCTGAATGGGCACGAACTGAAGATACTTGCATCTCAAGTGAATGCCCACTGAAGGGCATCCACTGCAGAGGAGACTCAGAATCAGATGGACAGAATTGCATGCTCTGTGGCTGTCAGCCAGCCTCTCTATGCAGCTGCTGTGGTGTCTGCTCAATGTGCCGATGAACTGAGAGCTCCTGGCAGCAGGGACAGAGGATATGTGTGGGTCCAATAACATGAATTCTCCCTCCAAAGGCTAAGCTGGCTGGTGCATCTGCTTCGTGCCTAATCTGCCAAAGCAAATGTTTCCTTACAGTGAACCACACAAATTTTGTTAGAATATAAATTTCTGTACATCAAATTCCCATTTGAACTGGTTTTGACATCTTACTGGTTCCCTCAATCAGTGAGTTAAATAAAAGCTTAGATACATGTTCATGTTTTATTTGCAAGAGAGTCACGGTTTTACCTTTTTGTACATTAGCAGCAAGAACATTTTTTTTCTTAGATTTAGAGTAGCTTTGGGCTAAATGGTAAATCCTCTGGCACTGCCATTGGTAACTCAATAATTATGAATAGAACTAAACAACAAATTAATAAATTAACCTTAATACAGAATTTCCAATCCACACGAGGAGTTTGCAAGACAACTTGGTGAAAATTCTGTCTCTGCAACTTGGAAGCTGTGCAGTTATGGGCAAGTTATTCAACTCTCCTAACCTCAACTTCCCCATCTAAAAAGTGGAGATAATGAAATGTCTGTATCGTGGAGCTGGCACAAGGACTACATGAATTGGTATATGCCAAGTGCACAGTACAGTACCTGGCACATGGTAAAAGGCTGTCATTCCAGATAAACTTTTATTTTTATGAACCAACAAGGGTGACTATGCTCACTTGCCCCATTCTCAGCCAAAACCAAAATGTGACACTATTGGTCTTACCTATGTGGTCTGTTTTATTGAGAATAGCAAGTGACTGCTTATTATTTTCCACATATGTTTTAAGTAACAGCTTTGAGGTATAATTCATGTATCATAAAATCCACCCTCTTACAATCCACTGGTTTTTAGTATACTCACAGAATTGTGCAGTCACCACCATCTAATTCCATTACCCCCAAAGAAACTCAGTGCCCGCTAACGGCCACTCCTCACCCTAGCCCTAAGTGACCACTGATCTGCTTTTTGTCTTTATGAGTTTGCTTATTAGGACACTTCATACACATGGAATCCTACAACACGTGGCCCTTTGTCTCTGGTCTCTTTCCCCATCACAGTATTTTCACGGTTCATCCGTGTTGGAGCATGCATCAGCACTTTCTTTTTATTCGTTGTGTGGATACATATTTTGTTCGTCAATTCATCCACTGTTGAACATTTGGGTTGTTTCCACTTTGGGCTATTATGAATAATGCTATGAACATTTGTATTCAAATTTCTGCGTGGACATATGTTTTCATTTCTCTTGGGTATAAACTCAGTGGGAGGCTGCCGATTACAGTGGAAAACACGCAGGATGGAAACAGTGACCTCTGCTTCATGGTTCCTGGTTTCCGACAAAGTTAATCTTTCACCATTGGCGTGCTGGTTAGATAACCCTGCGTTCAAAGAAAGGCATTTCCTGTTGCTACAGTCTTTACATAAACGCTCATACCATAATTGATTAGTTGTTTATGTGGGTTAAATTAACCATGGAATCATTCCTGATCCCATCTCCTTATTAGAGGGTCTGCATCTTTTTTTCTGGTTCTATTATTAAAAATAATTATTTTTAACTGACACATAATTGTACATATTTATGGTATACAGTGTGATATTTTGAAACATGTATACAGTGTGTAATGATCAGGGTAATTAGCATATTAATCCCTTAAACATTTATCATATCTTTGTGTTGGGAATGTGAAAGTCGTTAGAATTCAAATGGAGTCACTAGTGTTTTAAAAAAAAACAGTAACAAATAGAGCTGGGGAGGCCATGAAGAGGGGATTCTTATGCTTGTATGCCTAATACCAAAAATGATCACAAAAGATCCTGTAAAAATTACAATGTTGCCCACAGGCTGCCGCAACCTCACACAAAAATTACTTCTACAAGGACATCTGCCTAGCAACTGCCTGTCCAACCTCGGACTGCTGTGACCTTTGTTACTGATATTCGTAGCCAAGGATAATTATTTTAAAACCTCATTTTTTCCTTTAAAAACCTTTGTCTTTCTTTACCTCCTGGAATATGCACACAGTTTACTATGGAGCGCATATTCCCGTTGCAATGCCCTACTTTTGATTAAGTATCTTTTTCTTTTGGATGAGAGCCTGTCTTTGTTATTCAGGTGACAGGAACATTCAAAATTCTCTCTTGTAGCTACTTGAAAATACACAATAAATTATTGTTAGCGACAGTCACCCTACAGTGCAGCCGCACACTAGACAACTATGTTGCTGCAAATGTGATTCCATTAACTCCTCCCACCCGCTGCTGCATCCTTTTCCTCATAACATAAACATATCCAATCATTTTCTTTCTTTCACTGGGATTGGCCCCGTGGCAGCCCACGGGAGGCCAGATTCCCCTGTGGAGACTGAACAATCCTGAAGGCCAGTCTGGCTCCAGCCAAGCCCCGTCTAGAAGCAGGAGTCTGTGGCATGCCCTGAAGAGTGACCCAGTTCTTGCTGGTCACGGATGAGAGGGTGTGTGGTTTAGCATCGAATCCTCACAAGGGATCTACAGAGACCAGATTCACCTGCGGCCTCCCCAGTGGGCCTTCGCCTTGTATTTCCTGGCCCACCTCGGGCCCATCTGGTCCAGATCTCAGGGTGAGGCCCTGAAGAAGCAGGGCCTGGACCTGCTGTGCTAGGACGCTTCTTCTCAGCAGGCAACTTTGGGAAATGAAGATCTACAAATCCCCAGTCAGCTCCCCCAGGCCTGGGAGTGGCCCCGACCCCAGTCAGTCTCCTACCACACCCACTGTGCTTTCCCCAGGCTCCTAGGCGTCCTCTTTGAAATGGAGGGTCGCGGGCCTCAGCTGGTCTCTAGCCCTCCCAAGTGCCTCTCTGGGACTTCCTCCACCCACCCAGGCTGCCCCAAAGCCTCTTCCAAAGACCTTCCCTAGGGTGGCTCTCCTCAACCATGCTGTCACCTCTTTCTTTCCCAAGCTCCTTCAAGGCCCTTAATAGCCTCTGGGAGGTCTCACACAGAGGGGCTGGAAAAGGGATCATAAGTCCAGATCAGCTGTTCTCAAAGCGTGATCCAGAGCCCCATGGGTCCCTGAGACCCTCTCAGGGGGTCCTCAAGGCCAAAACTATTTTCATAATAATGATGATATATATATTTTTTGTATAGGTGGCTTTTTAATTTTCATTCTCTTAGGAGTTTTCCAGAGACTACAGGCATGGGTGAAAGCATCACCTTGATGGCTAACAGAACGTGTGCATCTTGTGTTTTACAACTTTTCTCAGTCTTAATTTCTAATATGAGAAATATGGATAGATACAATCCACAATGAACAAAAGTTATTTGGGGTCCTCAATAACTCTTAAGAGTGTAGGCCGGGTGCAGTGGCCCATGCCTGTAATCCCAGCACTTTGGGAGGCTGAGATGGGCGGATCACCTGAGGTTGGGAGTTCGAGACCAGCCTGACCAACACAGAAAAACCCCATCTCTACTAAAAATACAAAATTAGCCAGGAATGGTGGTACATGCCTATAATCCCAGCTACATGGGAGGCTGAGGCAGGAGAATCACATGAACCTGGGAGGCAGAGCTTGCAGTGAGCTGAGATTGTGCCATTGCACTCCAGCCTGGGCAACAAGAGTGAAACACCATCTCAAAAATAAATAAATAAATAAATAATTAAAAAAAGAAAGTGTATAGGGATCCTAGGACCAAAAAGTTTGAGAACCACAATTAGACAAAGCTCTAATTGATGAGAACTACTAACTTGCTATATGAGTGGGGGCTGGTTATGGAGGGGGAGGAGATGGGGAGAAAAGAAAGCATTGGGGGAAGGGGAATGGGGAGGGAGAAGGAGGGAGGGAGAAAGGGCAGAAGGGGAGGGAAGGAGACCAGGAAAGAGGTGAAACAGGGAGAGAGAGGAAGAGGAGATGAGGAAGGGAGGAAGATGGAGAGGGGTTAGAAA